TAACAACAACAACAGAACACATTACATAATTGTTGTTATTAAATGAAATATCTGGACATTTAACACTTATTTAATAACATTACAGATTGGTCTGAATAAACAGGGTATGTGCAACTTTAGTGTATAAGGCAGCATGCTAACCGGTTAGCTGTATTTTTTGCGAACTATATAAATCATAATGTGATTTTTTTGCAGAAATTGTAATCAGGTGCTAAAAAAAAAGAGTACCCATTAAAATGTCTTTACATCAAGGACCCGATCATGGAACAATGCACAGTACAGGCACAGCGTTGAGCTTCTTGAGTCTGATTGGTGGATTAAAAACTCACCACGATTGTCTGAACGGAACATCCTCCAAAAAAAGATATTTAAGAATGTTAACCTATAAGGAAGGTCTCAAAAATACTTCACACAAATTCAAAGCAGTCCACCACGCACGTGTGATGATTTGCAAATGCAGATTCAACGATCCATAAATACATGTAACATCATTCATAAATGTGTGATGGAAATTAATTCAAGAACTTGATATATACATATTTGTGTAAACATTTAAAATGTATTTAGGTAAGATGCATTTGTGTGAGAGCATTTGAGGAACTATTTATGCTTTTACTTGTGTATTTATGAATTGTGTTTTGAATTTACGAATCGGATTTTGTAAATGTAAATGTATTATTTTTGAGGCTGATCTGGCTCCATATTACCAACATATTAACACCCTAGAAAAAACCTAGCAAAAGCTTTGAAATGCCCTAGTAGCAACCAACCAGTAGTCCCTAGGAACCACCCCAACAACCTAGTAACACCTTAATAACAACCTAGCAACCACTTAGCAACACACTAGTGGCAATGTAGAAACACCTTATGAACAACATATTAACACTTAGCGACCCCATAGCAAAACTCAACCAATTATCTCTATATTTCTGTCTGTCAGGCCATTCTTTCATAAACATTTAAGGCTGTAAAAAGTTTTTAAAACTTTCAGGCGAGAATTTGACAAACCAACATTCAAAGTTTGCCTTGACAAATTCTCCTTTTCTTGTAACGTTATAACCATAGATTTTCCATGTTTCAGGGAAAACAGATATGTCTATGTCTGGCACTGGTGATAACCACATTCTTGTTATCGTCATAATTGTGTCTGTGGGTGCATTTACCATCATCCTGGTGGTGGTTGGCGCCTTCCTGTGTACACGCCGTACCACAACACAGCAGAAAAAGTAAGTTCCTCACAAAGTTCAAGTTTAGATCTCCTTTTGACGAACAGTCCTAATACTCAGTCCTGGCGTGAGGGTAAATGTGTTTGCCACAAGCTTCCCTCAAACTGTTTGATATGATCTCCAGGAAACGTGCAGCCTGCAAGTCCGCCAATGGATCCCACAAGTATAAGGGCAATTCCAAAGATCTGAAGCCACCAGACCTCTGGATCCACCACGAACGTTTGGAACTAAAACCTATCGACAAATCGCCTGAACTCAATCCAGTCATGACTGACACACCAATCCCCCGAACCTCCCAAGACATCACCCCGTTGGATGGCTCTATGGATCCTATGCTCCAGAGACGTAACTCCTACCGTGGTAAGCACTTTGATTTAAAGACCCCATGAAATCAAAACGCAAAGAGTTTTGTCTGTTAAGGCCATTTATATACTAGTGAACTCCCAAACTGGAGATTTTTTTGATGTATTCATAGTTTTCGTCTTCGGAAAACGGACTAGAACCCTCCTTCAATACCATCTACAACTGACTATAAGTAGCAAGTAGCTATGATGTAAACCTAAAGGCAGTCGCACACCGGACGAGAAGCGCAGTGCCACACCACGTCTAGAACAATTCGTACAACAAGTACAACACGACATAGCTGGATGCCGTGGACAGATGCCGAACAGCGCCTCCATTGTGCGTACGCTGCGCTGCGCTTATCGTCTGGTGTGCGACCGCCTTAAGGCTGCATAAAAAGTCCCTTTGATATGTCCAGCCCCAACTTCCTGTTTCAGTAAAAAACAGGAAAAAAGATGTTACCATTTCATGGGGTCTTTAAACTGCCTTCACCTGCTGCATAATCCATGACATCATTCCAGCTGCTGCTTCTGAAGAATGCTTCAAAGCCATGTCTACTATTTGTCATTATTTCTTGTGATTGGCTTGTTACTTGTCTAAAATAGAAAAACTTGTAGCCTTTTGTTTTCATGGCATGAATGGTGATGTCCATCTGCTGCTGCTCTCCTACAGCTCCTGCTGCTCTCCTGATATGTGTGTTTACACTGCCCTCTAATGGACAAACAATAGAATCCCAACGCAATAGTGAAAACATCACATGATCTTGGCAACTGACTCTAGGAAGTCAGCTGGTTGTCTTCATATGGCTCTTGTATTGGGGGTGGGTAAGCCTTTCTCAATCTGATTGGCTGGTCACTGTGTGATTTACAGGCCATGAATCAGAGGACAGCATGTCTACATTGGCAGGCCGTCGGGGAATGAGACCTAAAATGATGATGCCCTTTGATGCACAACCCCCTCAGCGTAAGTGTGCGATCCTGAACCAGGGACCGGACACCCTTAATTTGGCCCCTTTTCTTTCAGTTAGGATATTAAACAATTTATGCTCTTTGGAATAACATATGCTTCTCAAACAAGGTTCCCTGAGTTCATTATTGTAGTTGTAGGCCAGAAAACATACTCAACTCAAGTACATTTTGAAATGCATCAGAATGTTCAGGTCAACTGCTGCCATGGCAGAGCAATGGTCTATTGCTCAGAAAATTAGTTAAAGTTAGTTAGATTAACACCACAGCAACGAAAGAACAGGTTAGCCAAGAATTTGCATCTGCATTTGCATACTTGTCTAGAGTATGTTTCTAGCCCTACAAAAAATTATTTAACCTAGCAACATAGCGTGTCTTTCAGTCTGTTGTTCTTTGTTTGCATGAGCACATGTTATAGATGCACCATGCTTTCCATAATCTCATAGCTTTGTGCGCAAGGTCTAAACCATGGCGCTGTATTATTTGTGTCCATTCACAGCTGTGATTAGTGCTCACCCCATCTATTCCTTCGATAATCATCACCATCATTATCACTTGGGCAGCCTGGCCTCGCCAACACGCAGCTATCTCCACCACCAGAGCAGCACGCGGTCCATCGCCACCCCCATCTCTCATCTAGACAGGGCAGAGTCCACAGGTGAGAGCGCATAAGTGGGACTTTGTGAAGACCTTCATTATGCCTGGAATCAAATGTGTTAGCCCATGTTGAGTCACTCTTTATGAAGCTTAAAGTCATGTTCTTTTTTTCTCTCTTAACATGGAGGTACACTTGGTTGGTGACCATAGGATTGTAGTGAAACTTTCCATCTCTCTTCATTTTCCCCTTTATCTCTTGATGAAAACATACCTCCTTCTTTAGCACTTGCTTTAGACAAGAGCTTTGTAACATTTGAATCGCTTCCAGTATTTCCTGCTGGAAAATTCAGCCCAAACCAACATTAGGTAGGTGGTAGCTGGTTTTTCATGATTTCTTGCTAGGGTAAGTGGGTCATTTTTTTTATTTTTTGTCATTCACTGTTTCAACCTGCTCTGGATTGTTGATCAACTGGTGGACCTGGTTTCAACCTGGTGAACCGTCTTGGTCAAGCTGGTTAGAGCTGGTAGACCAACTTTGCCCAGCAACAAAGCAAATAATCATGTTCCAAAAACCATCTTCCCCAATTTAAAGGCAACATGAAATCAAAATGTACCCTATTTATTTTCTTAAAGTCAGCATGAAATGAAAATCTGTTTTCTATGTTGATGTAATTGACCTTATTGTAAACTATTCGTCCATGTCGTTTTCATTTGTTCACTATTTTGACCTCATAATTTTTAACAAGCATTTTTTAACTCCATCTTCTGGTGAAACATCAGACTTCTCTCTAACATTGTTTGCTGGACTTTTCCAGTCATTTAATCCACCTAAACCCGCCCCTTTCTTACAATCAACTGCAAGTTCACATTTTGCCAATAGTTGGAGAGTTTCAATACTGTTAACATTAATGTAATAAATCGTATGGCAATAATACCAAACAACAATACATTTGAGAAAGAAACATTAAGATTAGGATACATCAAGATGCTCAGGACTTTCACCTTCAGTCCCCACATTCTAGTCAAAAAAAGATTGTTCAAAAGTGGTTGTTTCAGAAGGAGAGTATTCCACCTACTCACATTTAGGTCTGACCTCTTTGACATATTACCTGTTTTTTTCCCCAGCAGGCTTCTCATGATCTTTAAGGTTGCTTGAATGCAACTCGAGTGTAATAGAATGCAGTGCTGTTGTAATTACAGAGACAGTAAGGAACACCCCTAGTGCTGACCTGCTCCCTCCGTCTGGGCAGCCCTCCTGCACCACTGACCTTTTAGAGACAGACATTAGCTACCACTGCTCAGCCACTGAGGAGGAGCCAGCATTCACTACACCCATAGCACACGTTCGTCCCACGCACCCACTCAAGAGTTTTGCAGTGCCTGCCATCCCAGCTTACCCCATGTATGACTCGGCAGCATTACCCAGCACTCCACTGCTATCTCAGACAGGTAAGTTCCCCTTCACACTAGATATTCCATCCTTATTGGGTGATCCAATCTGCGGTGTCCAAAATAATGACTTTTAACACAAAACTGTTTATAAAAGATTCATTTAAATTCAATTTAAAGATTAATATAGTCAGGTACATTCATTAAATTGCAAGCTAAGCTAATGGTAATTTCATTGGTGGAGTTAGAGGATATAAATATCTTATCAGCATTGAGCTAAAAAAAAATCTTTCCAACCAAGATGTACCTTCTTCCAAGTTCAAAATTAAAGCATTTATAGCATAAGAAAGGTTTGTGGAATATTGAGCCTAAATGGTACATATACAGTGAGAATATAATAGGTCCTAAAACAGAGCCTTGTGGGGCACCACAGTTTAGAGTGGCTGAAGAGGAAGACATATTGACTGATGGAAAATGTTCTGTCTTTTAAATAGAAAACTAATTTATTCCAGTACCTTGGACATATTTGTCAAACTCCAAGTGTTCTAAAAAGAACTTAACGGTTTGTGCATCTTTATAATAAATAGCACAATGTTTCATGGTTAAAAGGCAGAAAGACACTCTAACTTCTGCGATTTGTTTTAGGGCCTCACTCAGTTAAAACAGCCTCTATTGGTACGTTGGGAAGGTCAAGAACTCCCATGCCTGTCATAGTTCCAAGTGCACCGGATGTCTCGGAAAGCAGCAGGCTGCATGAATATGCAGGGAGTGTGAGTACTTTTGTTCCTATAATGCTCTGTACTACTTTTTCTCTGTACATTATGACTCTTAGAATAAAACCATGCACACATGAGTCATTTCTGTTATGCAGTAACTCTGTAACATGCAAAAATATGCTAATGTTATTAGTATTTTTGTTCTAGTCTAGGAGCTTTAACTATATTAAATGTAGTTTGACTATTTATACAGTGGCAACATCAGGATATCAGTAAGGAGCCAAAGTCAGCCATCTGCTCCAAAAATGTGTTCTATCTAATTTATTATGATAGGGACATGACAATGTACTGCATAGTAGAAATTATCTATTTACGACATTTGGCATTGCATTCAAGATATACATTTTATCATTTTACATCAAATCTATGACCTTGGTGTTGCTGGTGCCGTGCTCTACTGTTTGAGCTACCGCAATGTCATGTACTATGTTACATATTATGTTGTTCTAGCGATACTGTTACATATTGAGTATACTGTTACATATAGAATATATTTAAATTCACAAAAAGCTAATAATAAAATGTTTTTTTCTTCTTTCTCAAACCTTTACCTGCTTCTCCCTTTTAACGGCTGTATTTATTGCTTATTACGCTTATTGTAGTTTTGCAATTTCTTGAACTGAATTAAAACTGCTGATTGGTTTGTTTATCCTGCATAATGCACAATATTCCTGTACCCCTTCATCCATTACCACGCATGTGGCTGTGCAATTTGATTTCCTGCTTTTTTTCTGCAGTACCGTTGACCATCCCCTCATAAACCCAGTTCCCCAAACCCCAGCTCACCCCAACCCCACCCCCCGCAGTAACCTTCTTCATCTCCCTCAGAATTACGAGACGGATGAGTTGACAGAGGAAATGGCCCATCTGGAGGGCTTAATGAAGGACCTAAATGCCATCACAACAGCCTGAGCACAATCCTCACAATAACACTAGACCTCACCTGTCACAGGGAGAACGTACAGCATGGAGGAGTTCTCAGTCATTTGCTAAATTGAGAGTGCGATAGGAAAAAAAACTAATGTTTGGCATACCTTGCTTACTCTCAGGAAAGAGAAACCCATCAAATGAGGACAGTGGACATTCTGAGAAGGGACGTGTTTACTTCAACCAGATGATTGTGATTTTTCTCTCAGCATCCTAAAACGTTTCCTTATGTTTCAGCGGAGACCGTTTGAAAAGACACCATTTTATTATCCTACGAAAAAAGGAAAACTACATTATGCTGGTGTACGTGTTGGTGCGTGTAAGGCACAATTTACAGTGTTTCATTTGTATGTTTTTGTATCTATATATATTGCCCCCGTTCCAGTGAGCTGAACGTTGGACATCATCCTTTTGTCCTTTTTATTTCTGCAACTCATTTTGTATTAAGCATTTTAATTTGATGTCTATTTTCATATGTCATATAATGTGCCATGTCTTATTTTCTTAAACATATTTTGTATTGTTTTATATGCATATACACTTATCAGTTTGTATATATGTTTAAAATAGACTAATTTCATCACCACAGCAATGTTTTTGACCTCTCACGACAGTTTCCGCTTAGTCAGCGACATGCTGCTTTTTACTTTTGCTATTAGAATGAATTTTTGCAGTTTGCAACGTCACGTCCCCCTTCTACATTATGCCTGTTTTAAATGGGAGTTTCCTTCAGAAATGCCTTATTAAATTTGTGTGGAATGACGGATATCAGTACAACTGGGAAATATTTTCAAAATGTTTATCACACAACACTGTGATATTTATTCTGTAATGCTGAACTGGTCACTCAGTCCGGTGGTACGAGAACGTAGACCTTCATCACGCATGCTGTCAGACTTGGTGCTTAAACTCAAAACTTCAGGTTCTACACGTTACTGCTAAATGAACACATTTGGTACATTGGAAAGTGCTTTATATGGTTTATTTCCTTTTGCTGCATTGGCCTGAATTCTTGTATCGGAGCTTACATAAACTCAATGAATGACAACATTCACTGTGAGATTTTACAGACCACATTCTTGGCACTTAAAGCAACAAAATGCAAATGCAACAGACTTTTATACAGAACTCCTAGTGCTCATCTTTTATTTTCCATTATATTTCTTCTATTTTTTTCATTGAAGAACTTGTATAGCATGTCAATGTGTGAGGTAAAAATCTCCCCTGCTGGATACGGTTTTGATCTGTACTTTTACCCAAAGAAAATATGTAACAGCAATCATAATTTTGTTTTATGAATTTAATGCCTCCTTGAATATCATTCCGACTAAGAAATTCTGGGTAATTATAGGAACATGCTAAAAAAGCTTGGTAAAAACAATATGATCTATTTGGGATAACCTATCAAGTGGTACAGTCAAACCTTTATTGCACTTTTTCAACAATTTCAAGAAAAGAAAAAAACCATTTTTACATAAGTGTTTTGAATATAAAGCTCTATTTGTGTAATGTAGTGTCATAGTTTAGCATAGGCAGCTGGTCTTATTTCTTTTGCCTCAAATAATATTTGAGCGGCAGGTTTTACTGTGTTGCATATGCAGAAATCTGTTGTTGCTTATTTCTGTACAAAGATCTTCTTGCCGTCTAGAAATTGTGGCTTTAAAAAAAAAATACTAAAGAACACTGCCTTTGGGTCTCCTTTACTTGCATGCACTTATTTTGAAACACAATTTTGTTTTCCAGGTCTCCCTCACCATTTAAAACACCCCACTTTTCTGGTCGTTGTTGATTACTGAAGGACTTTTTACCATCATTCTCCAAACACTGGTTAGAAATGGCTAAAATTGAGCAATTGGAAATGTCCGTTATATTTCCATGACTTTATATGAAAACCAGCTTTCCCCATAGTAATGGAGAAATAATGAACACCTGGCACAGGTTAAGCATTTAACATATGTAGCATGTCTTTTGATTTACATATCAGATTCTGTTGTTAATACAGCACAGCTATACATTTCAGAAATTATTTTGTACAAGCTAATTTAAAACTTGCTTTAACAAGGCGTAAATGCATTGTATTACAACTTGAACAGGCCAGATCCAGTGTTATAAAGAGTGTTGTCAGTAGAAGAATGATCATCCAGATTATCAAAAATGACTTGTTAAACAAGGATGTTCTTTTTTCTGCAGTCTTTATTGACTTGTGATAAATTACACATCTAGACTCCTCTGGGTGTTTTAAAGTTCATTCCAATACTTGGCTGGGTGACCTGCAAGTTGGAGATGTTGCCGAAGTCCTGCAATGAGAGAAAGAATGGGTTAATGTGGGTTCCTCAATTCAAGTCTGAATATGAACACTTGAATGACGACCTTTTGTTTTATTTCACATCAATATTTTGCATGTTATTTCCAGAATATTTTGACAGCTGTTCTCTCAATTTATTCATTATGAACCACTGACTTTCACCACTGCTGTAAAATATAGCCGTTACAGCACTGGAAACACAAGACTACATTTTGGCAGTTCGTCTACATAAACTACAGTTAAATCAACTTACAAAGGTCTTCAGCATTTCCTTGGTATCTGGATCAACCTCAATAATCTCCTGATCCAAAGCAGAGACCTGAGAACAGAGTGAAGCAGCACATGAAATAAGGGCACATAAAATCTGTTCACTCTTGCCCGCCGTGTGTGACGTTGTGTTTCGTTGTGAAAGCGAAACTACTTTGTTTGGCTCGCTGCTCTTGATTTAACTGCTTTTGTAGTTTTAATAATCAATTTATTTGTAATGAACGGACTAAAGAGATTTTTACATTTGATCATTTGTTTTTCTTACTTGAAGGCTTTTGTTTAGATGTCAAATTAAAAAGGTAATGCATTATTTGTTTTACTGTTTTTTTTGGCATCTGTTCTTACAACAACAAAGATAAAATAATAGCTATATTGTGACTTAATATAGTAATTAATTATTATGAAGAAAAGAAGTGGAGGAAAAGACGCAACTTTGCGCTGTGGTTTTGCTTTGGAACCTTCAGAAAACTTTAACTCAATTCATCAAAATTGACTTTGCGGACTCTATCGACGTCAAACAGGTGTAGCTTAAAGCAATAAGCCCCAAGAAGCCGTGGTTTACAGTGAATTTATAACAGCTAAGGGGCGTTGTTAGGGCCTCATTAGCGGTTATAAATTCACTGTAAACCACGGCTTCACGGGGCTTATTGCTTTTATAAAACGGTTATTCCATATACGTAGTTAGGTTTCACAAAATAAAACAGAGCAAATAAAGTGTAAGGATATTAATAAAAACAGTATTCTTCCACCAAACAATGTAGTTCCTCAGAAAAAGTTGTGGTTCCAACAAAGTGGTTGCCGTGCAACACACAAAGTAAACAAAGGTGAATGTAGAGTAATTTACAACAGCTTCGAACTAGGGATGGGTCACGATTTTCAAATATTCCATTAGTTGATTTAATTATAGAATATCGAATAGGTTGTGCGATTATTGTCTTTAAAAATCTCCCAATGTTTTCCGTGCTGATGCAGTGGTGACACGTTCATGTAAGCAGAGGGTGACTGATGGGATGATGGTGAATGATTGCAGATCCTGAGCACCACTGACAAACATCTAATCTTGTCAAATGTGTGGTAAGTACTGCCGAGTGCTGCTCCATACGTCTGATCGCGAATCTCGAAAGTGAAAGTAAAAAACAAGCGTGCGTTCAAAAGCGACTTAAATAATGGCTCCCTGATGCCCGCAGTTTATATACGGTGTAATTACCCAACGATATAATTGCAACAGAAGATATTGAAGTATATTTTTCCTCCCATCTCGTATCTATTCCCTTTAGGCGTTCCATTTTTTTTAAATGGAAAATAAATGTCCTAGCCTTATGAGCAGTTCATTTATGCTAATCGACGGACTGTTATGTTAATAAGTGCCGTCATTCAGTTGTCTTTATTATATTAATGTTTCAGCACGTTACAATCATTATATGGCTTGAGTTAAGGTAGCCTATCTTCTGAATTAAACAGTTTATCATACAGATCGAAAGTGTGAATCCCGTCTCTCTCAGTTAATGGGTGTTTGCACGTGCATGTGGGGGAGAGGGGTGCAATTTCCGAATATTATTTTTTACTTTGAATGCCCATCCCTACTTGGAACGCAGCTCAACCGATCAGAATCAAGGACTGAAACTATCCATTTTAGAAGTCATTTTTTTGTCCAATTTCATCAAATCATACATCATTCTGAGGTCTTTCAATGGAGAATGTGAAAATAAAAACTCATTTTTGAAAATCTCAGCTCATTGTGACTCATTTTGCCAGCACAGGTCACATTTTATCAAAGATAGTGATTGACATTTAAAAAAAAAAATTTTTTTTAAATAACGGATCACACCTGAGACCTTTGTGCCCAAATTTGTCTACGAAGAACCAATTAAGAGCTGCTATATGAAGGATGCTTGAGGGTTAAAACTACTGCAATCGCATAAGTAATGTAGTGAGATTAGTGTCTTATTCCTATTGAATTTGATTAAATGCAATAAATTGGCAAAAAAAAAAAAAGTATAAAAGCCTCAGAAAAGTGTAAGATGTCAAACATTGTCCCTTTAAAGTTAATTTGTCATTGCTTCTCATGGCCTTAAAGGGATAGTTCATCCAAAAATGAAAATTTGATGTTTATCTGCTTACCCCCAGGGCATCCCAGATGTAGGTGACTTTGTTTCTTCAGTAGAACACATTAGGACCCCTCTGAATGCGCTTCATCAGATGGGTCACATACCTGCAGAGAGACCATATATATATATATATATTATTATATTATATTATATTATATATAATAACAACACCTACATAATAACTGCCCACAAGACCATCTTTTGTAGAGCCCTGATTACCATATTCATTATTTGATTTTTTTATAAATATGTATTTTTCATGGCACTTTCACTCACCCCGCGATCTTGTTGCGCAGAGGTTTGCTGGGGATGATGGCGATCTCCTCACACACTCGCTTGTTGATGTGGAAGTCATTGCCCAGCCGGGTGTAGTACTTCTCGATGACCACCCGAGCGGCTTTCTTCACGGTCTTGGTCCTCACTCGCCCCTGTCAGCACGCACACACGCACACGCACACGCACACGCACACACACTAAACTCAGTCAAAGGAACATGAGCCATTTATGTACTTATTTATGTACGGAGCGGGAACGTCCTACATTTCCAGAACTCAGATTATGCATCAACATAATCCCATTACGAGCACACTAACTAGTACATCTCTCACTAGTTTAGGAGCACACTAATGTGGACATTTACCTGCTGAACTCAAGCGTACAGAGGGGTCAGACTTGCAGTAGCATGTTTAAGGCATTACGCAGCCACAGAATAACAGTGTATCAACTTCATGCCCACAATGTTCTTCAGTGCCCCATTAACAAGTAGTTTCCATTGCTTTCGGGAACCAAAAGCCATGCACATAAAATCTGCATTAATGTCACTAACTTCAACTTTAGGAGAATAACTCCATTTACCTCTCTGTATGTAAATCTGCAGCACAGTTAAGTGACCCGAACCCAAACACCTCTCAAAAAGGATCCTGAATGCTTCCTGAATGACTTGACTTTTGGGGAATCAATCGCTTTCATGGAATAATTGTGTATTTAAACCTCAAATGGACTTAGAAGGCCATAACACCATCTTTATTAAAACAAAATCTACAAAAAAGGTACAAAAGCATATGGTACAATCTTAAAAAAAGGGGGAAATTAAAGATTTAAATGGTTTGAAATAGTCATCACCTTGCAGTTGACGAGAGCCAGCAGTCATTATGATCGCATTAACCAAAATTCCAGTAATAAGGAAGAACATATGTTCTAGCCACCCCTCATCAAACTACTTCAAATAGCATATTAAGAGTGTGATTTCAGTGTAGTGTTTAATATGGACGAGTCATTTTTATCCAGCAGATGGCACCTTAATAACCGTCTGCTCATATTCCCAAAGTACACCAGCACAGTCCTTAGTGTGTAGGACTAGCTTCCTCATCCATTAATCCAAAGCTAAACAATTTCACATTCTGCTTATATCGAAAAACAATTCCAAATGGCTTCGTAACAAGCCAAGGCCTCCCACTTTGGAAGAGTTGACAAGAAGGGGTTAAATCCTACAAAACCATTCTTCTTGGAGCCAGACGCACCTGACGATTGCAAGCAGTGCACATCCAGAAATACTAAATTGTCTTCCAACTCTAGCGAGGCACGTAATACATGTCGTTAAGAGAAGAACGTTAAATAAAATGCAGCCTCGACGCTTGTGCGAGACAGTATTATTCAAGTACTTTTCACAGAATAATTTAGACCCAAAGTGACTTGCATCACAGTGGACAAGCATAAGGAATATCTATTAAATAACCGTCACATGGAAAGTTTTATACACATTTGTGAAAACGGTTTGTGATAACCGCCAACCTGAGATGTCGCATTTGAACGCAACTCCCGTTCATAGATGGTGGAAATCGTTCCTCAAGGTGAATCCAAAAAGGAATGGGTCAGTGAGAGCTCACCGAGTTACTATTTACATATATAAACGAGTGGAGACGGATGGCTGGATTACTCAACTGATGAGTTAATGCTAATAAAGAATCTGTGCCCATTTGCCATATCTATTTGGTCCAGCAAACTCACTTATCTACTGCTTTTGTAAGAACATTCAAAGCACGCCATCTGTAGGCCCTCAAGAAGGATTTCCAAAAAACATGGGCATGGTAGATTCTTCAAAAAGCCTTGTTTACTTATGAAAGGTGAGTTCAGAGGTCAGTAGAATACAGCAACGCACAGGCTGACGTAAACAAGGGCCTAAGAAAACGTCAGCGCAGTCACACACTACTATGGCTTCTCGCTCAACTTTTGTACGGTGATCAAAATAAAATAATAGTTATATAATTTATCTTACATTAATTCACATTTACTATACATTAGAAAGATCCCAAAATAAAAACATGGCTTTAATGCTGTGAACAGGTGAACGGTGAAACCAAAAAATGAGCAAGGCAACATCACGACTGAGATTAGCAATTTCCTTAAGTGGAAAAAACCAAACCCCTCAAAAAAACCGACGACGACAGAACTACAGTAATCGTTTCACATTTAACCCCATTTTACGTAATTCCTGCCTTAAGGATTGCGCTCAGGAAAGGACCGCCTCATCCATGCAAGAGGTCAAGGGCTGCCCCATCTCAGAATATACGTATGGCCACTATAACAACCCCGAGAGCGTTTACAAACAGGCCAT